TTAAGGAGTATATGATAGGAGCAGGATCTTTTGATAGCAGAGGAAAGGCAGGGGTAAGTATCAAAATACACTCCAGACTTTGGTCCAATGGAATGCAATGGATTTGGGGATATGGATGTACAAAGGAAGAAGATTGTCAGTAGTGATAATATGCAAATGTCTATACCTACGAGTAATGGTTGCAAGAAGTTAGGAGTAGAGGTACAAAGGAGTAGCAGGAGCAGGAGAGTTGCTAGAAATTCAGTCTATCATTATATTCAAATCCAAAAGGAGGAGAGTATAGTGATACATTTTATTACTAACCTAGTTTTCTTTTTTGCAGGGAATGCTACTGTGATCATGCCTTATCCCTTGAACAAATCTTACTTGGTGGTATCGGTACATTGTACTCAATCCAAGGAGAGGAAGGCAAGGGAAGGCACAAGCATGACAATATCCAAAGGAAAGCAGGATAGGTCCAACCATTGTGAAAGCTGTATTGATCCTCGACCTCAGATAAAAATCTTGCAGACAGCAGAAATCTCCTTCTTCAAGAAGGATATCAGCTGGATGATGCACCTGTGGAAAAATATAACAATTCATAAGGAGGGATATCATACGGCACATACAGGGAGTCAGGCATATTTGAGGATCCAATATCCTCACAAAAAGCAGACATCAAATACAAAAAGCAAGATAGAACAACAGGAGGAGATGAAGATCTTTGGTTCTATAACAAAAAGCAGGAATCTCTGTACGTTGCAAAGAAATCTGGACAGTAATGCTGTTATCTTGACTGGAGTCTCAACATGCAACACAAATGAGACAAGGCAGGCTCTTCGACTGATCTTTAGTAGCTAAAACAAAGACTGGATCTTCAATTTCCATCATCATTCTACATGCAGCACTCAAGATGAAGAAGAGGTATATTCAGGCACAAAGGCATTACAACAATCGCACACAGCAGCTCACAGTAAGTACAGGAAATTAATTGAACAACGGAGAAGATTTGGTCACAATTTGTTGATCCAAGCAAGGAGCAGAAGAAGAAAGCAATGGCGGAGCTCTGAAGAAGATAGCTGGGAAGACGTTAACACCTATGTGAGGTACAGGAGTACTCAAACGGATATATGGAATGTAATGACAGCAATAAATATGTCAAGACAATGTTACACGTGTACAATTGCAAAGATACAATCAAATGGGCTACATTTGCAATTTGAGGACCTGGGATTTATTTGGGCGAACTGTGGCTATTTATGCAATTCACATATAGAGCTGATTTGGGCTTTTCTTGGGCCAGCAGAAGCGAAATTCAAATTCACATACATGGATTGGGCTTATTATGAGATACATGCATCCTATTTTATATGGGCTAGTTTTTATACAATTTTTAGTAGTACATTTGTGATATCAAATTTGAGTATTATACTCAATTGTGGTAATAGGACATATGTAATTTACAAAGTTTACTCAGTACATTTCATAGAACATCAGAACACTTTATGTTTTTCTTATTTATATATAAATAAAAACTAGCCCTAGGTTCTGCCTAGTGGATTTAAAAAAAAAAGAGTGCTTACTATGTTTTACTTTAGGATAAGGAACAAAACACCGAAATAATCGAAACCAACAAAAATCGAATCCATAAATAATCGAGTTAATTAGTTTGATTTGGTTCTAATATTTGCAAAATTAACTTAAGTTGTTTGATTTTTTTTTTTTAAGAAGAAAACTGATCCAAATCGAACGATGAACGCCCTACCCACGACATGAGAAAACGACATTATATATCCGCTCTCAAAATAATCAGGGGCAGCCCATCCCTAAAGCAGGTAAAGCAACTGCTTTAGGCCCCAGATTTGTGGGGGGCCCATTTTTTGTTACACCTAATAGGCTATATAAGTTTTAACAAAAAATTTGTGAATTGAAAATGTTTGATTTCTCATTTCAACAAATATAGAGAAGAAGGATTTGCAATTGTTATGATTTCTTCCAAGGAAATTGCATTTGAAAGGAATATCGAACATGAATTTCGTAAGAAACATGTGATATATATGAAGAAAAAATTTGATAAAAATGTTGAAAACTAAAACTCAAAATCTCTCGAAGAGTCTTTTAGAGTTGATTACTTTTATACATAGTAGACAAGGCTATTTTTTCACTTCATAATAGAGTTGAACAATTCGAAACATATGAAAATATATTTGGTTATCTATTTACCGGTAAAAAACTGAGATCATTAGATGATGGAAATTTGAAAAAATATTGCCTTAGTCTTGAATGTTTCTTAAAGCATAATAATCAATCCGATATTGATGGTTTAGATTTATTTTGTGAATTAATCTTGTTAAGAAAAACAATACAATTAGAAGATAACGGTTTATTTGATATAATCAATCAAATAAGAGGATTTGATTCTTTTTGAAATTTCTATTACGCCTATAGAATAATGTTATTAAATCATGTTACCATTGCTTCATCAAAAATAAAATTTTTAAAATTAAAATTGCTAAAATCTTACATAAGATCAACAATATCTCATGAGAGGTTAAATGGATTAGCTATATTGTCAAGTGAGAAAGACTTATTAGGAGCAATAGATTATAAAAATTATTAATAACTTTGCATCTAAAAAAAGCTAAATCAATAGACTTTAAATAAAAAATAATAAATTTTTTAAAAGTGAAGGCCCCTCATAAAGTTTAGCTTTAGGCCACAAAATTTGTCGAATTGCCCTTGAAAATAATAGTCGAAAAAATATATATATATTTTTTGTATATTTATATATTTTTGTATGTTATATACAAAAAATATATAAATTTTATTTATTTTTACGGTTATTGAATATAAATAATATTTGCCGTGGGTTAAAAGCGATCGGGAAGGACTTAAAAGACACAATGTATCGATATTATGCCAGCAAAATTTTTATAGCTTTGACATTCTTTTTTCACCTACCAACAATGTTTGCATGTGACATGAATTCTCCCATATCCTTCCATTATTAGGTTATCTATTTGTTTTGTCCAAAACCCCTTTTTAAAAATTTCAAACCTTCCTACAAACATGGATCTTTTGTCGTTCCCACTGTCACAGACATTTTCCTATCTGGCTACCAAGTGACATGGTCGTGAGCTATTCCTTCCTATTACTATATTCAGTTTGGATTGCATTGACCACCAATACTTTTTCCTTTCGGTTTTTGCATGCATATGTGCAAAAAACGTAGAGGTCAAATGATATGATTTTGTCTTATTTGGAATCCCAAAAATCATTGAGAGAAAATTTTGGATAAATTTCATAGATGGTCACTTAACTATGAATTTTTCTATCAAAATCGTATAACTTTATTTTGTAATAGAAAGATCATAAGACTTTCACCATTCAACCTTCTATCACAGATAATTTATTAAATACATTTTAATTTTTTTTCTTTTCTAATAAAAACAGACCCAATTAAAAAAGGACTGACCAAACCCAACCCAACTCGTTCGTAGTGATTAAAATACTAAGGAACATAACTAGTTAAATTGAATCTTTTGAAGTATTTTAATCAACTCCTTGAGTTTTGGATCAAGTCGGGTCGGTCCTTTTCCAATTGGGTCTGTATTTGACAATTTTTTTGGGGGGTTTTGACACGGTTACCCATAAAAACAAAACACTTTACCCTTATCTACACATTTGTTTTTCTACCCATAAACTAATTATATTTCCTACCCATAGTAGTTTTTGTGGGGAATTTTTTCATTATTCTCCAATTCTTTTTTATTTCTATGCTTCTTTTCTTTTCTTTTTTTTCTTTTCTCCTTTTCTTTTTTCTCGTTTTCTTCTTATTTTTTTCTTTTTTCCTTTTCTAATTTCGTTTAACTTCTTTTCTTTATATTCTTTTTCTCTTCATAATCTAATTTTATTTACTGTTTTCACTATTTTTTATTATTCATTTTTTTTATATTATTACTAAAGAAAAATCAAAT